TTTTTTTTTAATCATTTCTTTCAACAATCTATAAAAAATACGTGTTTCTTAATAATTTCTTTCAGTAATCTATAAAAAAAATACGCGTTTTTTTATACATTTCTTGTAAATATTACAAACATGGATGGTGGTGGTAACGGTGGCAACGGTGGTAAGATTGATTTTAGTGTATATAGCAAGTTTTCAAGTTTATTAATACCGTTATTGTCATCTAAGGACAACCACAACTGTCCCCCGAATTCCAAAAAGTACTTGCCAGCTTGACTCCAGAGCAGAGAAGGGATTACAATACCTGCGCCACGAACCAAGAAGAAGTCAGAATGTTGAGAGTGATTTTAGCTGATCGAAAGAAATCGGTACATTTATAAAACATTATCACGACTATCGCGCCCTCACACACTCATTTACTTATTTTTGCGATCAATATACTTCACACTTACGCTAAACAGTTTTTTCGTCGCTTTTTTTTTCCTATGAAACCATATAGGAAACCTTCTGGGAAATGACTTCCATCTTTGTCTACGCAATTGTTACAATTTCCATTTGCGTAGGAAGTGCAGTTTACTTTTCAAGCGAGGAATCGACCAAAAATTTCGGTATAACTCTAAATTGTGTCTACTATTCAATCAAGTTTATACTTCTGATGGTAAAGTTAGAGCGAACTGGAATTATCTATAATAAATTACATGATTTAATCATCATTATACCACCATTATTGGGAATATCACTTGCAGTGGTTCTAGGACTTTACGTCCAACAACTTACTTTAACAATCAACTTTATAAATCTCAGATTAGAGATATCTAAATTTTATCGCGTCGTCTATTCTTCAGCACTACTAAGGATTTGGTGGTCACTTGATCATTTGTTGCTAATACGCACTTGTAAATTGCTTTTTAACGTAAAATATTTGTAGATTGCTTTAATATTTATAGATTTCTTTAATATTTGTAGATTGCTTTATATAAAAACACTTGTTTGTAGATTTGTAGATTGCTTTATATAAAAACACTTGTTTGTAAATTGCTTGTAATAAGTACAAATTAATTGCATAACCTGAATAGCTTACT